AAGACATGTCTGCAGCATGCAGAGGGAATATCTGCTCTTCACCACCATCTTAAACTAAACACCAGACGTGGAGCCCAGAGGGGATAATTATCAGTTTGTCTTCCTTTTATTTTCTTCTCACAGCAGACAGCAGCTCCGTTAGCATGTAGTTATTGACATTAGCTGCAGAGTAATGTTAGCTCTGATGAGGGACTCTCATTGCGGAGTTTGGCGATTGCAATGATTGCACTGTGGGAAAAGAAACCCCCCTTGAAGCAACAAAACGCAACTCCTTTACTTCACAATAAAAGCTCTAAATTCTTTGTGAGGGTAAACTGACTTGTAAAAGAGCGAATGACTCGTCATCTATTCCCAGTCTGCACCCCGAGGCCTGTTCTTGCACTTTGCAGCTTGGGTTTAGCAGCTACGATCTCCCAGGAGAAGTACTGCGGGGCTTTCTGGCAGGACGCCTTCATGGCAAGCACTTCTACAGGTCTCAGCTCGGTACTCTCCGAGCGAGCTTCATGGCAGAGGTAAAGTAAGAGGACTTTGACACAGAAGCGAAAAGAGGAGAGTGACTGTGGAAGAGGCCAGACAGGAGTAAATCTCGGACTGACTTCTACTCCAATGGGAAGGAAGCCAATTCTTCAAAAACACAGATTTTTGCATGATGCAGCTTTAAATTTTTGGCTTTCTGCATCAAAGTTAAAGTTGTCTCAGCTAAATCCACTCTGCTGCTGATCAAAGTGGATCAAAGTATCCAGAGAATTCTGGTTTGCACATCCAATGATCTTTGACTTTATGCCACATGATAATTTGTGTGAACCCGGATAAAAATCAAAAACAGTCAGATGAAAACTCATCAACATGATCTCTGGCAGACCAAGGCATAAAAACGGCGCATTAAAGGAAGAACAAGATACAACAGGACGAGTTTAAATGTCACACTGATAAAATCATATTCATATTTCTCTCTACGTTTCTCATTTAAGCAGCTTTACTTCAACTTTACTTGTCTATATTTGTGAACAGACATTTGCTCCCTCCATGGAGCTGCATGGGTTTCGTCTTGTGTGTTTACTATATTGTTGGTTGTGTTGTATTTATTGTAGTATCACCTGAGTTGCATGAGTGATTTATCTATAATGTATTTATCTACATTGCTGGTTAGCCAATGTGAGTGGACTATTTAAAGGGGTATTCTGGCATAAAATCAAGTTAGGGTCAAACACACTGTAACACCGAGTTAGACACCCCCTTGAGAGATGAATGTTACCGATCGCTTGCTTTTTTAGTTAGACCAACTTGAGTAAAACTAAAGTACGCTAATGTTACGATAACAATACACATTGGTCTACCACTCCATGCGCACACCTAAACCAAAAAGCCACTCTATCGTCACAAATAACGCTCAGAACAGAACCTAACTTCATCAACAGTACATGAGGGGTCCTAGCCGTAGTAGGTGTGTGCGTGGAGTGATAGACCGCTGTGTATTGCTATCGTGCGGTCGTTACTAAAGTTGTCGGCAACATTCATCTCTCAAGGGGGTGTCTAACTCGGTGTTACAGTGTGTTTGACCCTAACTTAATTTTACACTGGAATAATCCATTAAAGTGGTCACTTAATAATTGTTCTGCTTCCTCTGAGGATGATGCTTCATTTTCAGGTCATCAGGATTTGTTTTGATTTGTGCACGATGGAAAACTCCACTCCGAGTGGACATGGCAGTTGGTGCTGGTGTTAGTGAACACAACGTTATTTGCAGGGAAACTTATTTGCACAGAAAGGGGCTTATATTGCCCCAGGTGAATGCACACCGGCAAACAGCAGCAGTGCACCCAGACACATTTGCTCTGCAGCACAGTTGTGGTGCATCTAAGCTTTGGATTTAATGGTTTCTTTATGTCTCATTTGTACAGATTAAGGAAATCTCATAATATTTGATGTATTTGAGCTAAGAGATCCATAAATTGCTGGATACTGCACAGAAGCAGACAGTCAGAATATAAAATGACTTAGTTTCTCTGTATCCTGGTTCTCTCAATGATCAGGATGATGAGAAGGACCTGGTTTAAGATCTCCACCAGAACATGTCAAACAAGCCAGATCAGAGATTTTTCTGCACACTCCTCTGTTGTCATGCAGCTCTCCGGTGTTTGTGTTTTTCAGAGCGTCTTGCTCTTTCCTTCAGAGTGTGAAGAAATGTGAAAATCATGTTACATGCCAGTGGAAACATCCCCTGCTGTGTCGCCCTCTCACTTGCAGTATAACAAGTTGTTGCAGAGACGCTGCAGTCACACTTTACATCAGCGCACAGACACTGAAGCCATGAATTCCCCCAGCGACCGTTCTGACGCACAACAACCCCCGAACCGCCTTCCGCCATCACGCTCTGGATGAAATTGTATTCTTAGACGTTTATCTGGTACAAGGGGAGACACGATGAGACTACAATGTGGCTAAATATTCATTGTTCCTCTTTGAAAATGCTCGTCTGACTCCAAATGAAACCCAGATACGCCGTGAAGTTCTCATTTGTCACGCAAAAGATGTCATCTGTTGGTGGGAGCCGAGACTACAAGAGAAGACAGCTGTGAGATTAAAATTCTCACACGCTCTCGCAGTCTAAAATACTTTGGGGCAGACGGCTTATTATGCCATTCTCTTTCATGTCTTTGGAATAAACTTATCACAGTTCTGCTCTTACCCAGATCTCACATCGATTCACATCCCCTTCGGCGTGTCAGGAAGCTTCAGATGGAGATGAAAAGAGAAGGGGAATAAATAGTCTTTCAGATATGCAAGTCTCTCTAATCAGCTGTGAGACAAACAGAGAGAGTTCAGAGGAAGGCCAAATCTCAGCGTCGCTTCTCCAGAATGATCCAGAAAAACTGCTTCCAACTGGTTTCAGACGGTCGCAGCGGACCTTACATGTGGGTCTCTATTACGGATTCCACCAGTCACGGTCCAAACACTGAAGTTTAAACTGACTTCAAACTGGATGACAAGTTCCTCTTTGAATGTTTGAAGAAGGAGCTGATAACCTGCATTAATATTTTACTGCATTTAACTAGAGATTTATTTTATTCTATTTCAGATTTTAAAGGAATATTTCTGTATTTTTGAAGGGAGGTTGTCAGTGGATGCTTGTCTCAGCTTGAGAGACTTCTGAAAGAGTCAGTAGGTTACCGCTATGCTAGAGTTCTCTGCAGAGGATTTGGAAAATTTCAAGAGACTCTGACCCAGATACTCATCTTCATTTAAGTGTACACTCTGAGATTATTTTAATCCATTTTCTCCACTATTTGCAGACACAGTAAATACCCCATACTTTTTCACATACAGTGGGATTGGCTAAACAGGTCTAGGATGATGTAGTTGACACTGATATTGGGAAATTTAACATTTTTGCATCTTACGGGGAAAACCCACAGGATCCAGAACGGCTCCGCTCTGCTCTGGCACGGCAGGTGGATCAAATATGCAACCATTATAATCAATGTGAGTGATTCCACAGAATCCACCCACCGTCCAGCTCCGCTGTGGATTGGATCCAGCGGCCGGATCAAATACATAAGGCTTCTATTTTTGCTGGACGCCAGAGCACAGCGCATCAATTCAGTGCAGCGCAGCACGAGCAGCAGCGGAAGTTGTATGCAGTTACAGAGTAAAATATCAGGTTAATTTTCAAAATAAAATAAAGTCAATACGTTGAATTGTTCTTAACTTGATAATAGGAGAGGCCAGGGTTGTGGGATGTTGGTGTTTATATACACCGCCGTTTGTATACATTGTCATTCTATGGATGTCATTCTATGACTCCTGGGGAAACTCACAGGATCGTCCAGTCTCGTGAGAAATATTGGAAATCTCGCGAGCGCTTTTCCTCCGATAGCAGCGGTGGATCGGATCCGATGAGCACTGTATGCTTGCGTATCTGATCCGCCTGCCGGTCCGGAGCGAAGCGGAGCTGTTCCAGATCCAGTGGGATTCGCGGGTTAGGCCCCATTTATGCGTACCCGGTTACTTTTAAAAACATGGTTAAAATATGAACCATCGTTTCCACCCTTTGTTTAGATGCAAACGGAGAATTTGCCCCTGAAGACGATGCTTTTTAAAAACTCCGGCCAGAGTGGTGATTGTGGAAAACTCTGTTTGCACATTTGCATGTAAACAGAGGAAAACTGAGATTTGGGTAGCTGATGGCAGATTGTGCGCCGAAAGAAGGAAGTGACGTTGTTGTTGTTGCTGCTATGCAGGATTCTGATTGGCTAACGTGGGCTTGAGCTTCTCGCTACAGGTTTGGCATGCTCTTGAATACACAGGTTAGTGTAAACGAAAACTTTTCTTGAAACGTAGTGGTGTGCGCACAGTTTTTTTTGCAAACTGAGAGGGTGAAATGTCCGTCCATGGAAATAGTCGGGCATGAGTAAACATAGTCTTAGTTTTGCATTATGTTAAGATCAGCCAAGATTTGGTGGTTAAGTTAAACTGAGAGCATGCTTAACACTCTTAATCCCCTCAGGTAAGAAGACTTTGGTTGGGAATTACTCTCCTGTGTTTGTACAGCTTCCCTGCTGTAAAAGATCTGACATGCTACCTCACAATTGGTCCACTCCACATGGAAAACGCCAGTCAAGCCCCCCTTAAAGCCTGAAAAGAGCTTGTGCTTTCAGTGGGAATTGCCAAGTGAGGGATGATAAAAAGAATTCATCCATCACCTCCTTGGAAAAGTGCATTTGAATAGCTGGTGTCCATTTACCTGTCAGCGTGTGGTTGGTTTCATGGTAAGAGCAGGTCTCTGTGAAGTCAAGTCCTGCACGAAGACGCTGAGCAGAGACTCCTTTGATCTCTTTACCTGCTGCGTATATTTGATCTCATCCTCGCTTTGTTCAAGTCCGACGGCAGTCTGCCTCAACCCGCGCACATAATGGCCTCACGCTGAAACCAACATGGAGGATGATTGACATGGAAAACAAGGTTGCCTCACATTTCCAGGGTTTTCCACTCAGACAATGTTATGTCAGGAAGATTGTCAGCATTGCTAAGGTGATCTCTTGCAGCTCTGATAGTTCCTCATAGAGGACTGCAGTGATGTTTTCAGGGTGCTGCACATTAATCCTCATAAAACGACCCATGTTGGTCCTCCTGATCAGCTCCTGATGCTGCACCAAGTCACCTCCAATGCTCTGGTTACCCTCCAACTGGGAATTATACACATGTGTACAGGGACAAATGGGCCCAATTAGTCACCTGAACCACCTCCAGAAAGTGAAAGGAAAGGTCTCTGTTAGTGGAGCAAGACAGTGAACACCTTTGCTGCAGAAAAATAAAACAGAAGTATCAAGGACAGCTACCCAGCCCTACTTTTTGGGGTTATTACTCTGCACTATACCTGCCTATCAATATAATTACCACTGGGGTCGGTGTACACCCACCGGCCGCCCACTGGCCCTCGGCTGTAATAAATGTTACATTCCTGGCATGTAGGAATGAAGGAAACTCCCACTCAATTGAAGGAAAAATGCAGCTGAACTGTTCCCTGGAAAGATCTCTGAACTCTTGGCTTCTTGATGTGTAGCTACAGTATGTGGTGTCATTTTCACAGCGTATAGTGTGCATAAAATGGCTCTAAACACACTGTAGTATTAAAAAAAACGTGTAGAGCAATGTTTAAGGCAGCAGATTTGGCCCCTGCACACATGCTTTGTTGTAAATTAGCAGAAAACAAAACATACTGTTCTGGCTTCCCTTAAACATGATATATCGCTGAAAAAAAATCACATTTGTTTTTATTTGATGCACAACCCAGAAAAAGTAAAAAAAAAAGTCAAATATTAATGACAACAGATTTTAAAGTTATTAAATTGTTTAAAAAATTTTATCTTATTGAAAATGGAGAAAAGACCTTTAATTGTCTTTGTTTAAATATATGGATATTTTTTACATTTAATGGCAGCAACGCATTTTTTAAGAATTTTTAACATAGTCAACAAAAGTTGTGCATTGGTAAAAGGAAAAAAATCTAAAGGAGCATCTCCAGACAAATGAGGTTATTTTGCAACAGGTTAGAAAAAGGCTGGATATATAAAGGACGTTCAAAGATGGGAAGAGGGACTATTTCCATGAGCAAATTCTTCAGCAAACTCAGAATAATGTCCCTGAGTTTAAGATGTCAAAGAATTAGTGGATTTTTTCATATACAGTACGTCATATCGTATTCAGAGAATCTGGAGAAATCTGTGTACAAAAGGGAAAAGGACCAAAACTGTTACCGGATGGTTCTGATCTTTAGGCCTTCAGGCAGCCCTGCATTAAAAACAGACATGATTCTGCAGTGGAGATGTAGGATCAAACAGGAAATAAACCCGGTCAAGTAAATGTGCAAAAGAGTAGGAAGGGTGAGAGGCCACAGTGACCCTTGACCTCCCAAAATCCTTCAGTCTTATCCTCAGAAAAGTCTTGATAAAATACTTTTGCAGCGGTCTTTAACCTTTGACCATGAAGGTGAAAAAAGTCATCAAGTTTATCAAAAAGTCTCTTAGTTCACATGACAGCTCTTGACTTCTTCTGAACAATGAAAACTTTTTGAGGCACACATAGACCTAAACTTTTGACATATGACCTCCCAACAGTTCATCTGCTTTATCCAAAAGCCCAAATGGACATCAATGTCAAATGTGAAGATCTTCCCAGGCTTTGCTAACTTTTGTTTCATTCATATCAATGAGCCAGATTGATCAGTGCCCTAGTTTACCTGCACTGGACAAGAACTGAATAATTGACAGAGGCATGTCCACCTCTGCTACAGTAGGTTGCTTGTTACTATTGGATTGTCTCCCAGTTGATGATTAACACATCAAAATAGTCTAATAGGCTGTACCTCAAACATGACAACACCACCACTTAAGCAGCGCTGTGCGTTTGTTCAGAAATGTCTTTTTTGACATCCTCACTTGGTCTGTCAAGGTTTTGTTCACTACCTGGCTTTCTAGCAATGTATCCTTTCTATTCAACCTGCTTTTCTACTATACAAGACTGGGAGGTTCCAAAGGAAAAAAAGTTAGCAACCTCTGCTGTGGTAGAACAGGGGATTCATTATGGATATGCAGCAGGGCTGTAATTTCGAGAAAAAGAAAATTGATATTGTGATTAAAATAAGCATACAGTTACGCAGTTAGTTACAGTGGTGGTCCTTTGCGCTGGCTGCTAATGTCATAAAGTTGGGAAAAGAAGCAGCAGCTGCAAGCGAGCTAGCTTTAGTGACCCTCAGACAGTTAATATGGCACTTTCAAAAAACTGAATCCAAAACAATCTTAGGGCATGTGCCTCTTCTGATTAGTAATCAGTCAATTAGATAATTATACTTTCTAACCGTCCTTTTAACTTTTTTGGTGCAGAACCATAACTTACGATCCAGCAGAAGTTGTAACCTTCAAAATAAAAGCATAGTTTTATGTTGGAGTTTTCAGTAGATATTCTGGTTTTTACACCCACAGTAATCATGAGGTGAAAATCTGATATAGCAAAAACCCTCATGTGCAGCCAACAAACCTTCAACAGCTGCATGACGCTCTCAGGTCCAAAATCTGATCCAAGATGTGAATCAGAATCTTAGATGAAGTTTTCCAGCACCTCCCTAAAACTACGCCATGAAATATTGAGGTGGTCCAACGCAGTAGCTGCAATGTGTGCCTAAAAAAGTGACAAACGTCTGTGCTGTGACGCACAATCAATAGGTTGTAAAACAAGCTACCACTCCAGCACTTGTTCAGACTTTTAAATTGAAAGTGCATTAACACAATTCTGGAGGGTCCTTTAAATTCCCGGTTAAAAAATAAGTAATGAGTGTTATGTAGAAAGTGGCGTTTTATGCACTGGGTTAATTCAGTCCTGCAGACCTTTATTCGCCACTTCCGTGGAGCACTGTGAAGCTCTAAGGCTGTAATTATCGCACCAGCTGAGAATATCCAACCCCTGACTTTTAAATTGAATGCAGAGGTGAATTATTACCTCCACATGACTTCTTCTCCACCAGATATGGCAAGTGTATATTAGACATAACACATCACAGTTATATTAAAGTCATATTAAAGCAGGGCACCATCTGTGTTTGAACAAGCATAATAAATTACAGCTCCACTGTGCTCCTTTTGATAAGTGCAGCCGTCCAGTTAAATAGAAATTCACTCCGTAATATGGCTTCTTCACCTCCTGAGCAGGCCAGCCAGAGGTAAATCAATATTCACAGTTTATTCTTGCAGCTAGAAATACGGTGATATGCTGTTCACTGCTTCCTCAAATGTATTTGTTCTCCTCAAATTGGAGGCTGAGGGCTAGTTTTGTCAGAAAAGCAATATTTACCTGAAAAGAAATGATTGTTTTCTGTAATAGTCATCAATTTTAGGGGTTAGGTTAAAGTTTTAGACACATTTGTCTTTGCGGTGTTATTAATTTGCAGCTCTGGGCGAAGTCATGTCTGAGAAATCAATACAGCGCGCACAGGTTACAATTAGGTGTAAATTAATCAGCGCCACAGGCCAGTTCTCCCTGTAAGTAATCAGGGGACAAATCCTGCCGCCGCCTGGAAACCAAACGGGAGTAAAACACCCAGTCCGCCGCAGCTCCAGGATCAATCAGAGGGCTTTTATGGAAATGGTTGGAAAAGAGAGAGATTCAGAAATCGAGCTGTGATGAATCCGCCGGTGGAGGAGAGTGTGCAGAAATCAATAGCAGATGATTCATTTCTGGCGGCGTAATGGTAGCAAGCTGAGTTCCCCAGGAAGTCTGAGCCATTTCCAGCACTCTCTGTCTGTCTGCGTGTGTGTGTTCATGTATGAGGGCACTTTTTCTGTGTAATAGGCACTTGAGCAATTTTCATCTATTTGTGTGTTTGGCTTCGGGCGCTGCTGCATGTGTGAAACTATTGGTGGTGCCACAAAGAGAAGCGTCTGAACACCCAACAGATGAGCGAGAGTCGAGTTATTTTTGTCTTTACCAAATAAAAATACTCTGTGTGAAATCAGGACATCATCAGAGATATTAAGGTATAAGGCAGATTGACCCCAGTACCTAAAAAATATAACATGTCATGGTTGGTTTTGTGGCGGTTACACGTTTAACAAAGGGGGAATACAGCGTGGCCAAGTACATCAGCATCATGCATCAAATCAAACCAAAGTACCTGCAGTAGCTTTGATCGTCTGCAGCTTGAAACACTCCATCAACTTTAGCTGCTATTGCTGGTCTTGCAGGGTTTCCATCCTCCTCTTCACCCAAAGCAGCAGAAGTAAGCACAGCCAGACTTTAAAGCAGGTCCTGTCAGTTAAAAATCATAAATCAATGTTATAATCAGCAGGATATAAACTAGTTAGCTAACTAACCGAGGTGGCATATGATTACTTTGTGAGGTGTCCAGGATTGGGTCAGTAAAACGAGAAGTAAGCAAAGAAAATATTATTTTCTCAATGTGTTCAGATGTCACGTCCATTTTTGCCGTTTATAGTTATGCTATCTTAAGATAAAGATGCTTATTTTCTTGTTTTCTTTCTTACTTTATTTTTGTAAAGAAAATGTTGCAGTGTGGCCTTACTGAGTGTTGAGAGGTAATCTTCGGGTCAGGCTGCAGACCTGGGGGGGCTGCAAGAGGCCGATGACAAATAAAGCGGAGAGCAGCAGATCTGTTTGCTCTGCGCAGATTCATTGCTGCTGCCATGCCATAATTATCTCCATTCTGGGGCTCGCTGGCCGACCAATCTGCAGAGCTCTCATTATACATACTGTACACTACAAGCACTCTTTGTCTCTGTCACTTTCCTTCACTCTCTTCCTGTTTTTTCTCTTCTCCTCCTCCTCCCCCCATCTCAGCAGGCCTGCATGAGCGCTGGATGTGGTGTCACCGCTCTCCTGGTGGGCCCGAGCTGCGTAATTGAACGGCTCTGCTTCCCGACTTCATTTCTATCAAAGTGAAATGAGGCCGGCCTCCCAGGGTATCTTCAAAAAAACGAGGCAGGGGGGAGGTTTGTGACGGCCGGCAACAGTCGGGGTGAACAGCACTGGCAAGAATTTCAGGTGAGCTGAGCCCATGGAGTCTGTTTCTTTACCTCAGGGTGTGATTCTGAGTGTTTCCCTTTTTTTGGAGGAGCGGTGTGAGACGAGTAAATATTGGCCTTTATTTATCTACGCTGTGGAGAAAACAGGAACC